TCCAAAATCATGGGCATTGATATGGAGTTGGTTCCCCCCTTTGCTGCTATAACAGCCTCCACTCTTCTGGGAAGGCTTTCCACTAGAGTGACCTACCACTTCCCGGCTGAGCCGTTGTTGCTCCTAGACGTTTCCTCTTCACGCCTAGACGTTTCCACTTCACAATAACAGCACTTACAGTTGACCGGGGCAGCTCTAGCAGGGTAGAAATTTGACAAACTGACTTGTTGGAACGGTGGCATCCTATGACGGTGCCACGACAGCAGGGGTTCAAACTGTAGAAGCAGGGGTTCAAACTGTAGAACCCAGTTCCTACGATTTTATACACCTGTCAGCAACGTGTGTGGCTGAAATAGCCGAAACCACTCATTTGAAGGGGTGTCCACATACATTATACAGTGGGGGAAAAAAGTATTTAGTCAGCCACCAATTGTGCAAGTTCTCCCACTTAAAAAGATGAGAGAGGCCTGTAATTTTCATCATAGGTACACGTCAACTATGACAGACAAAATGAGAAGAAAAAAATCCAGAAAATCACATTGTAGGATTTTTAATGAATTTATGTGCAAATTATGGTGGAAAATAAGTATTTGGTCAATAACAAAAGTTTCTCAATACTTTGTTATATACCCTTTGTTGGCAATGACACAGGTCAAACGTTTTCTGTAAGTCTTCACAAGGTTTTCACACACTATTGCTGGTATTTTGGCCCATTCCTCCATGCAGATCTCCTCTAGAGCAGTGATGTTTTGGGGCTGTCGCTGGGCAACACAGACTTTCAACTTCCTCCAAAATATTTTCTATGGGGTTGAGATCTGGAGACTGGCTAGGCCATTCCAGGACCTTGAAATGCTTCTTACGAAGCCACTCCTTCGTTGCCCGGGCGGTGTGTTTGGGATCATTGTCATACTGAAAGACCCATCCACGTTTCATCTTCAATGCCCTTGCTGATGGAAGGAGGTTTTCACTCAAAATCTCACGATACATGGCCCCATTCATTCTTTCCTTTACACGGATCAGTCGTCCTGGTCCCTTTGCCGAAAAACAGCCCCAAAGCATGATGTTTCCACCCCCATGCTTCACAGTAGGTATGGTGTTCTTTGGATGCAACTCAGCATTCCTTGTCCTCCAAACACGACGAGTTGAGTTTTTACCAAAAAGTTCTATTTTGGTTTCATCTGACCATATGACATTCTCCAAATCCTCTTCTGGATCATCCAAATGCACTCTAGCAAACTTCAAACGGGCCTGGACCTTGTACTGGCTTAAGAAGGGGGACACGTCTGGCACTGCAGGATTTGAGTCCCTGGCGGCGTAGTGTGTTACTGATGGTAGGCTTTGTTACTTTGGTCCCAGCTCTCTGCAGGTCATTCACTAGGTCCCCCCGTGTGGTTCTGGGATTTTTGCTCACCGTTCTTGTGATCATTTTGACCCCACGGGGTGAGATCTTGCGTGGAGCCCCAGATCGAGGGAGATTATCAGTGGTCTTGTATGTCTTCCATTTCCTAATAATTGCTCCCACAGTTGATTTCTTCAAACCAAGCTGCTTACCTATTGCAGATTCAGTCTTCCCAGCCTGGTGCAGGTCTACAATTTTGTTTCTAGTGTCCTTTGACAGCTCTTTGGTCTTGTCCATAGTGGAGTTTGGAGTGTGACTGTTTGAGGTTGTGGACAGGTGTCTTTTATACTGATAACAAGTTCAAACAGGTGCCATTAATACAGGTAACGAGTGGAGGACAGAGGAGCCTCTTAAAGAAGAAGTTACAGGTCTGTGAGAGCCAGAAATCTTGCTTGTTTGTAGGTGACCAAATACTTATTTTCCACCATAATTTGCAAATAAATTCATAAAAAATCCTACAATGTGATTTTCTGGAAAGAAAAATTCTCAATTTGTCCGTCATAGTTGACGTGTACCTATGATGAAAATTACAGGCCTCTCTCATCTTTTTAAGTGGGAGAACTTGCACAATTGGTGGCTGACTAAATACTTTTTCCCCCGCTGTATATACAGAATAATCTTATTTCACTGTGGAAAAGGGTCTGCAATACATGTCATGTTGGTATGATTTTCAGTTTGCTTCCTTTTGGCTGGTTTGACATTCGTCTCCAAGGATCATAAGGAAAAATCATCTGTGTCTTTAAAATGTCCTTCTCTAAACGGATGACTAATTTACCGATCTATTATCAATTTATAAATTACAATGCATGGAGAATACATAATATGGTTTTTCGACTTGTAACTGGCAGGTTCCTGCGAACTTATTCATGGTTTCCTTACGCATAAACATGGTGGCATTAAGTCAAGTCCAAAATACGGTGTTTCTGTAGACACACCTCCAAAACACCTTAATTTTTTTGAGCTCCACCTAAAACGAAAAGTGTATGACTAGCATTCTATTCTCATGCTTAAGTTCAAGGTCAGAATATGTATAGAGAGAAAAGCGCATGAAAAGGGAATTGCATTCAATTTATGCAAGCTTAACCTCTTAACGATCAGACCCTTTTTTTCAATTTTCGCCTAAAATGTCATACCCAAATTTAACTGCCTGTAGCTCAGGACCTGAAGCAAGGATATGCATATTCTTGATACCATTTGAAAGGAAACACTTTGAAGTTGAAATAAAAGAGAAAGGCCACAATATAATATTGCAATTTAGATTTTGGTCACTAGATGGAAGCAGTGTGTGTGAAAGTTTCAGATTGATCCAGTGAAGCATTTTAATACTGGACTATTTTGTATCAAGTCTGGTCAATTGATACATTTTCAAGTACATAACTATAGAGAACATACAAATATTGATATGGTAATACAAAATGTAAGTTTACACACTCCCAGGAATGTCATACATGATGGATCAATAGCTTATACACTAACTTTCTAGGCCGGGCGGGGTGTGTGTGGAGCCATAGACAGCAGGGGTTCAAACTGTAGAACACAGTTCCTACATTTGAATATAAAAATGGATTTTATCAAACAAAACTATGCTACATTTTATCTCTGGGACCCTTAGGTTGACAAATCAGAGCAAGATATGTAAGTACATTATTTACCGTCAGAGGTGAATATATCAAACCAGTTGCAGTGATACATTTTGTTGTTGTTTTGCACTCTCCTCAAACAATAGCATGGTATTTTTTCACTGTAATAGCTACTATAAATTGGACAGTGCAGTTAGATTAATAAGAATTTAAGCTTTCTGGTAATATAATATATGTCTATGTCCTGGAAAGTTTGCTGTTACTTACAACAGTCATGCTAATCACATTAGCGCACGGTAGCTCAACCGTCCCGTATACGGGACACCGATCCCGTAGAGGTTAAGTCATGTCTGAATTGGGCCCATGTGCATACAGATTACTTGCCTGTCGTTTTTCCCTCGCTGTACTCTCTTTCATTCAGTTTCTTCTTCACATCAGCAAAGAACGGCTCCGCATTGACTGCTTCACATGAGGCTTTCGTTTAGGATGGTGGACCATTCTTGATAAACACGGGAAACTTTGGAGCGAGAAAAACCCAGCATGTTGCAGTTCTTGACACACTCAATCCAGTGCACCTGGCATCTTCTACCATACCCCGTTCAACGAGACATAAATATTTTATCTTCACATTCACATTCTGAATGTTACACATACACAATCCATGCCTCAATTGCCTGAAGACAATTGTCTTAGAACAAAATAAATCCTTCTTTAATCGGTCTCCTCCCCTTCATGTACACTGATTGAAGTAAGGGGTCATAGCTTTCACCTGAATTCACCTGGTCAGTTTGACATGGAAAGAGCAGGTGTTCCTAATATTTTGTACACTCAGTGCAGATTATCACAATTTTAGCTCAAAGTCGGTTGCAATTTGAAAAAAATGAAAAGTAGCACATTGAACCATGTCACGTGGCGTATTTTTTAAAAGTATTTGGATAGTGCTCAAACAAAGACGTCATATCTGGATTCCTCCATCTTTATGCACCATTGTTTTGTTTGGTCTTTTTCCTGTATTTTTTAGAAGCATCCAGCTGCAGACAGTGAGCGCTGAGGGCGCCCGGTCTGTGAACGTCTCAGATGGTGTTTTTGCTTCTCAGTTGGTATGTGCGCATGCAGTGTTCTAACGCCATGGACCAAGGCTATATACAGGTCCGATCAGACTGGCAAACACAGGTCCAATCAGACTGGCCAACCAGGAATAGGGCCATTCCGCCCCTGGCTGAAACCCTCATATTAAACACCAGTGGTATTCACTAAGTTGCTAGGTTATATTTAGGATAATCTTTTACAGCTTTGTCATTATATTTTCTATTGTAAAATCATCGTATTGTATTATTTTATATATTTTACATGTGATAAGGCCACACAGAGGGCCAGAGATAATTACAGACAACTGTGATAATCTGGGTGGAAAAATGCCACTAGATGTCATGTTATAATTTACATAAAATCCTTGAAAGTTACCAAACGTCAACTTTGTACGTTACCAGAAATATACCCTCCCTTTGCAACCCTATCTGCACCTATAGCGAACACACCCACAACACATGTAAACACACTGATCTATAATCAGCTCAATTTCTTTTCAACACTCAACACATATAGTTTGGGAGTCCACGAGGACCTGAGGAGTCGAACAAAATCAATTGAGATTCTCCTGGGGAGAAAGAGATATGACAGACTTCTTGATTGATTGACTGACAGACGATTAGCGTGATTGCTGATTGACAGGCAGCTGTGTGAGAGGGTGTGTTTGGTCCAGAGAGTATTACAAGAGCAGCAGTCTCAGCCCTGTCAGTCTCAGCTAGTTTCCCTCCATGTCACCTTGACCCTTAGCTCATCACAAGCAGAAGACCATGCCACACAAAATGGGTGAGTGATTTGTAAGAGTCCTAAACACTTTTGTGTCTTCCAGATTAGTTGCTGTTTTCATTTTGCCTTTATGCTAGAAGTTTGTTTCATTGAGTAAGAAAAGCATTATCTTCAATACTTGATGTGGCTTATCTGATCTGGTTGCAGCTGAGAAGGTTCTGATCGTGTACGCCCACCAGAGTACTGGGTCATTTAACGCTGCAGCTAAAGATGCAGCTGTGACAGCTCTGACTGCTCAGGGCTGTAAGGTGGAGGTGTCTGACCTCTACGCCATGAAGTTTAAAGCCTCTGCTACTGTTGATGACATCACTGGTAACAGTCTGAACCATGCGTTACTTCATTACAGTAGTGAATGATAAGTGTATAAGCTTGAGTGCCTATTAAATGCTTAAGGTCACAACAATTTTCTGTTGGCAAGAGCTTTTTCTTTTCTACCTCAACTTGCTTAGTCTCAGTCTGTTATGATTTATCAGGGGAGGTGAAGGATGCTGAGCACTTCCAGTATGGAGAGGAGACCATGCTGGCATGGAAGGAGGGCCGACTCTCTGCTGATATCACTGAGGAACACTGCAAACTCTCTGAAGCGGAGCTTGTCATATTCCAGGTGATCTCCTGCAGTACTGTGAAGTGTCTTAGGCTTACGTTGATGAAGCCAATTTTCCTATCCTCATTTTAAGTGTAGAGCCTTTAGTGCTTTTTGGATGGTGGCTGAAATGCACCCATTCCAGGTACTGGTTTTTGACTAGTGTCTCATCTCTCAGTTTCCTATGTACTGGTTCACTGTTCCTGCCATCATGAAGGGCTGGATGGACCGGGTGCTCACACTGGGATTTGCCTACACCTCAGAAAAGAGGTACAGCCAGGGCATCTTCAAGGTAGGGGATGCATGTAGGGCCTATGTAGATTACATTTTCAACCAGCAATGATCAAGAAATGACTCAGATTTTGTTCTTACTGTTACATCAGCTGTTGTACAATGACACAGGAGACATTTACTGCAATGGGCTTTTTAATAACACCACAAATAGTTGGTTTACATGCTTCTTCAAGGTTTCTCCCATTCTGTGGTCCATTCATATCAATGTCTCCTCACCTTGTTTCCCTCCAGGACAAGAAAGCCATGCTGTCCTTCACCACTGGATCCCAGGAGTCTATGTTCAGTGCCAATGGTATCAATGGAGACATGAATGTCACCCTGTGGCCACTGCAGGTATGTTAGGCTTGGCTGACACTACCAGCATGTAGACTGCTGTACTGCAACGTGCTTTAGCTTTCTATATGTTATCTCCACTGGATGTCTGCTTTTATTATAAGCATTTGACTTCCAGGTTGGAAAGTGCTAATTTTAATGATTGGAGGACTGCTTCAGTTGGACAAATCAATTCATGTTTTATATACTTTGGCATGGTTATTGAATAAGTTCATTCCCTCTCTTTAGAACGGCATCCTGCACTACTGTGGTTTCCAGGTTCTGGCTCCTCAGATCTTCTGGGCTCCACCCCACATCCCCGCTGAGGCTCGGGACAGCATGCTGGAGGCATGGCGCACACGGCTGCAAGGGCTTCTGGGAGAAGTACCGCTTACTTTCACACCCTCTGACAGCTTTGATGGTGGGAGGGGCTTCCAGCTCAAAGAGGATGTCCAGGAGAAGCACTCAGCCAATGCGTTTGGCCTGTCTGTCGGAATCCACCTGGGCAAGCCCCTCCCACCCAACAGCCAGCTCAAAGCTGGGGTGTGAAGGATACTGGAGGACTGTCATCCCTACACATGCTGCTTATGCTCTAAATAACAAATAAAGATTGGCTTCCTTAAACTGAATGGTGTTCACTTTAATACCACACTTGTTATTCAATGCTTTAACCTAGGTTTCATAGTTGGTCAACTGACTAATTAACTCGTCTGCAGTCTTCCACATTTTCTGATGGCATTCAAGTATTTTGTTTAGTTCGCTAATCTTGTATGGTAGCCACTGGGTTGAGGCTCACTACTTTACAAAAGCAGCTTCGTAACACTCAGTTCCATACTCTCCCCACGCAGACATGCTGTGACCTGTATGCGCTCTCACTTATGGGGTGGCTTGATCCCTCTCCCACATGTCGCTTTGGTTTGGGTCAACCGGCGGGGCCTGTACCCTGCCACTCAAAGCCCTCAGCTTCCATACAGCGGGAAGAAATTGATCCGTTTAGGAGAAGGCTTACCATAGGCAAGGTCGCAGAGGGCTTTCTTTACATTCAGCGCTAAGTTATTGCATTGTGCTATGAATACACTGCTTGTTTCTCCAGATTAGGATTTCTGCAACTGTTTAGTGAAAATGTACCTCTGGGATCGGTTTGGAGTCAGGGGAGCTCCCTTGTTTTGGTGGGAAGCACTTAATTCCACAGCGGAAGCACACTGGGAACATGGTCCGAGCCCTTGGGTTCATCTGGGACTGCTGTTCCTAGACACAGGAAGCACAACTAGGGGCGAGCTCAAGCTTTTTGCAGTGTTTGTGCGAGTGTTTGCCATAGGGCCAGGAGTTTTCCCTGAACGGGTAATTGAGGTTTGTGGCATGTAACCTGTGTCAAGGGTGGGTATATTTGAGCATGTATAGGCTCTGAAGCAACCATGCTTGTCAGAAATAGTTGCAGGGTTTGGGCCAGGGTATGTTTGTCTGGAGGGACATCACCAGTCCTGTCCCATCCTGCTCTGCTATGGTTCTCATCTCCCATACGCTGACAGGAAGGCTATTCTCCACAATCAATGGGAGGAAGTGGGTACTCGTGCCAGGATCGGCTGCTCTGGATATCTCAGGGAGGTAAAACAAGCACATCCATTCAGAAAAACCTTTCTGGCACAGTGTTTGAAGCCTAAATGACTGGTGTTAATCACGCAAACCAACAGTTTTTAAAGGCACTGGTTGAAAATATCCAATAGAAGGCAATAGCAACTCAAAGTCGTTATAAGGGGAAAAGTAAGAACACAAACTTAACAGACATTACATTAGACCCCTTACAATGAGACAAAACACTGAATTAAATGGATATGACACTTAAGAGCAGTAACTATATATTTCCAGTTTGAAGGACTTGGAATAATATTACATAGAATTTTTACAATCAAATGACTGCCTATTTGTTTTGACGGGGCAGTAAATTAGTTTCTCTGTCTGGGCACGACGTGACCTTAACGAGAAGTCAGTCATAAACAATTATGACCAAAAACAGGACATCAGTTATTCTTTTTTCGTTGCAAGGATGCAGTCTGGCCACGACCAGATTCAAACCGTTTGAGCCCCTTCCAACATATGGCCGGACCAATCAGTGTCCTCTGATAATCTGTGGGGCTGGTTTAGTTGATGACGACAATGAAGAGCACCTGTACTGGGTGAAGAAGTCGAAAATCATAACAATGGCTGCTCTTGAGGTTGGTGTTGATGCTGCTATAGCAGCAGTTATCAGAACTGGAGGTCACAACTTAATTGAAGGAACAGCGAATAACTGCATGAAATGCTTTTCTCTGGGAGAAAACGTTTTCGCTCTTCTCCTGACTGGGTTTAGCCAAGAGCTTGCTTTACCAGCTAGCTCCACCGATAGTCAATAAGGCAGTGTACGGATACTTACAGTAAGACGCCAACCACTAGGTAAGAACGCAGTAATAACCTGTTCATAGATAATACGTAGCTGCTAAATACTGATATAAAGTTCAATGGATTTTCCTGGTTATGTAGAAACAATTATTCGTTACCAGAAGAACTATCAATAATAGAGGTTAGCTAGCTGTTAAAAGGGTGTGTAGCTTAGTGGGTAAGAGCGTTGTGCCAGTAACCGAAAGGTCGCTGGTTCTAATCCCCGAGCTGACTAGGTGAAAAATCTGTCGATGTGCCCTTAAGCAAGGCACTTAACCCTAATTGCTCATGTAAGTCGCTCTGGATAAGAGCGTCTGCTAAATGACTAAAATGTAAATGTAAAATGTGTGTGTGTCGGTAGCTTCCCTCTCGCATGCGCTTGCTAACTTCACTTTCCCCCACGTTAGCTAGGTATTTGTGTAACATAGAGAGGCTCGCCAGTCGTCATTTCATGTAATTGCTTTACATTCACTCAATGCTGCACGTATTTAATCTCATCCAGGTAAATTGGTCCACAAGTGTTGTAATGGCGAAGGTGCATAAAGATGGCAGCCCCCATGTACTTACAGTGGGTCCTCATTTAGTGTTATTGGCCTAAAGGTCTACTTCAATATATATCAATCAATCATTCCTTAATTCGTTCATCTCATTACACAGTATATGTCACGTCTGTCAGTGAGATGCGGTTGAAGAAGTCAGGCGCAGGACACGGACTCTCGGAAACGTACTTTAATCCGATACTGAAAAGATGAACACAGAATAACTCCACGCAGGGAGGCAATAACCCGCTCACAAACGACATACGTGAAGGGATAATTATAGGGCAACAATCAAACATAATGTGGAACAGGTGTAAATAATACAGACAAAACTAGACAGACACCGATAACATCGAACGGTAGCAGCTAGTACTCCGGGGACGACGAACTCCGAAGCCTGCCCGAGCAAGGAGGAGGAGCAGCCTCGGCAGAATCCGTGACAGTATACAAGTCATTCATGCCTTTAAATACAGTCAAGCATTTTGTTACAAAACAAAATAACATATGGATCCTTAAATAATTTAACAATAAATAAACCACAACATGTCAGCTAAAGCAATTGCATTCACAAATGCATGCAACTGTTTTTAATCTTGGCTGTATTAAACACTTTAATACCTTTTTAGACTATATGGAATTGATTATATTTGTTTGTAAATTGTTATTGTACTTGTGGTGTTGTTTAAACTGTTCCAAACGGTCAGAAAAATATTGTAATCTAACAGAACATGTTTGAGACAAATACTGTAATAAGCGCACAGCATGCACTCCTCCTACCCTCCTTGATATCCTTCTTATGTATTATTACAATTAGTATTATTATAGCTAAAACATTCTTTAATACATTTCAAGTTCATAAAAATTAACTTGGCAAGAGTCTATTGTCCTGCTGATAGCCCATCAAAGGTGGATGGCTTCTTTTTTATAACAATTTATTGAATGAATATTTCCCCGTAGCACTCACCTCTGTCATCATGAAGTGCTTTGAGAGACTAGTCAAGGATTATATCACCTCTACCTTACCTGTCACCCTAGACCCACTTCAATTTGCTTACCGCCCCAATAGATCCACAGACGATGTAATCGCCATCACACTGCACGCTGCCCTATCCCATCTGGACAAGAGGAATACCTATGTAAGAATGCTGTTCATTGACTATAGCTCAGCATTCAACACCTTAGTACCCTCCAAGCTCATCATTAAGCTCGAGGCCCTGGGTCTGAAACCCCGCCCTGTGCAACTGGGTCCTGGACTTCCTGACGGGCGAGGTGGTGAAGGTAGGAAACAGCATCTCCACTACACTGATCCTCAAAACTGGGGCCCCACAAGGGTGCGTGCTCAGCCCCCTCCTGTACTCCCTGTTCACCCATGACTGCGTGGCCAAGCACGCCTCAAACTCATTCATCAAGTTTGCAGACGACACAACAGTAGTTGGCTTGATTACCAACAATGACGAGACCGCCTACAGGGAGGAGGTGATGGCTCTGGGATTGTGGTGCCAGGAAAATAACCTCTCACCCTCTCAATCGTGGACTTCAGGAAACAGCAGAGGGTGCACCCCCCTATCCACATCGACGGAACCGCAGTGGAGAAGGTGGAAAGCTTCAAGTTCCTTGGCGTACACATCACTGACAAACTGAAATGGTCCACCCACACAGACAGTGTGGTGAAGAAGGTGCAACAGAGCCTCTTTAACCTAAGGAGGCTGAAGAAATGTGTCTTGGCACCTAAAACCCTCACAAACTTTTACAGATTATTTTCCTAAATCCCTGTTTTTGGCACCTGACCACACAACTGGACAGTAGTCCAGGTGCGACAAAACTAGGGCCTGTAGGACTTGCCTTGTTGATAGTGTTGTTAAGAAGGCAGAGCAGCGCTTTATTATGGACAGACTTCTCCCAATCTTAGCTACTGTTGCATAAACATGTTTTGACTATGACAGTTTACAATCTAGGGATACTCCAATAAGTTTAGTCGCCTCAACTTTCTTAATTTCCACATTATTCATTACAAGATTTAGTTGAGGTTTAGGGTTTAGTGAATGATTTGTCCCAATTACAATGCTTTTATTTTTTGAAATATTTAGGACTAACTTATTTCTTGCCACTCGTTCTGAAACTGACTGCAGCTCTTTGTTAAGTGTTGCAGTGATTTCACTCGCTGTAGTAGCTGACGTGTATAGTGTTGAGTCATCAAAGCCAGTGGCATGTCATTAGTAAAGATTGAAAAAAGTAAGGGGCCTAGACATCTGCCCTGGGGAATGCCAGACTCTACCTGGATTATGTTGGAGAGGCTTCCATTAAAGGACACTCTCTGTGTTCTGTTAGACAGGTAACTCTTTATCCACAAAATAGCAGGGGGTGTTAAGCCATAACACACACTACCGTTCAAAAGTTTTTGAACACCTACTCATTCAAGGGTTTTTCTTTACTTTTACTATTTTCCACATTGTAGAATAATAGTGAAGTCATTTTTCTTTGCTTATTTGAGCTGTTCTTGCCATAATATGTACTTGTTATTTTACCAAATAGGGCTATCTTCTGTATACCAACCCTACTTTGTCACAACACAAGTGATTGGCTCAAACGCAT